CACTTCATGCAATGTTTTTGAAAAACACCACTTCATTATGATGATAATGATGTTATTAGATTTAATTGGCACATTTAAGATATAAAAGTATCACCAAGCTGAAAGCAAGAATAGATGATGATTTGAGATAGACCTAAAAGTGGGTCAGGTTGTTACCCAGCATTGTATCTTGGAGGTAATAGATCTCTGATAGCATGTGTAGCATATCTTCAAGTCCCATTATTATACTGTACATGGAGTTCACAGATATTTAGTTTTGATGAAGATGCAACTACTGTCCTATTCACTGTCCCATTTAGGGTGGCACGGTGGTTTAGTGGTTAGCACCACTGCCTCACAGTGCCAGGGACCTGAGTGCAATTCCACCCTTGTGCAACTGTCTGAGGGGAGATTGCACATTCTCCTCATATCTGTGTGGGTTTCCACCGGGTGCTCCAGTTTCCTCCCAAAGTCCAAAGATGTGCATGTTAGGTGGACAGGCCATGCTAAATTGCCCGTAGTGTCTGGAGTGTGCAGACGAGGTGAATTAGCCATGGGAAATGCGGGGTTACAGAGATAGGGTTGGGTCGGGGTGGGGGGGGGTGGGGGCGGGGGGTGGTGGGTGAGCCTGGGTAGGATGTCCTATGGATGTTCTACTCAATGGGCCAAATGGGCCTGCTTCCAGACTGCAGGGATTATATGATTTGAGCACTGTACATATCAGCAGCATTAAATCTTAAAGGTCAACTCGTATTTCCCTGGAAACACTCAGGAAACCCTCACACTAAAATAAAAATTTATGCCACTCAATTATAAGATTGGATGTTTGCCATCAAGATGGCTAAAGCCTGATCTACACAGTTAGGGTGTGTTACATTTATGCCCCAATGATAATCAAAAGCAAATGGCAAACTTATGTTTTTAATCTTATACAGATATAGCATTTTCAAGTCCTTAGAATGCCCTAAAAGGAGTTCAAGAAGAATTGTTAAAGTGTACTCTCTTTAGTTTTGCCAGCAAACAAAACTCAGTTTGCACATAATATCCCACAATTTCAAAAACCAGTTAATCTGTTGATCAGGTGTTGATCAGTTAGCAAGTAACTTTGCACATGGACAATAATTGTAGGTACAATTCAGCTGATTTGGATGCGGGTAATTCATGTTGCACATTACCATTTGTTGATACAGTGTAGAAGAGGCAAACTACATTTTGACTTGCAGACTGCAAACGGCTTTATCTTGAGTAAACAAGCAGGAGTTATTTTTTCCAGAAGGCTTTAGTAACCACAATTAACACATGAACAGCACTCTAACAATGACTTTTAGGCTTTACTTAAAATCAATATAGCAACAGCAATACAGCATGTAAATATTTAAATTGTTTTGGAGGACACCTACAGTGTCCGATGTATTTGGAACCTATAAAAATTTTTATTCAGCCATAATTAACACAAATTATCAGGTCCAGATGTCATTCTGATATAATTCAATATTAGAATCCCAAAACAGTTTCTCTAAGTGCAATTCCACATGTTTCTTCAGATATTGGGAGAAGTTAACGAGACCTCCTTGCAATGATTACAGAATAAATTCTTAAAAATTACAATATAGAACAATTCTCAATTATATTTAATGAGCGAAGAACACGAGGATCAGACTTGGGTTTCCAGCAAATAAATTGTACTATTTTATTGATACTACATCAATCTTTTTTTTATATGAGAATTTTCCCTCTTTCCATTGAACCAGGGTTGATGCTCTAGCCTAATGATGATAGAGTGGTGTATATGCTGGGTCACAAGGCTATGGATTGTGTTAGAGTATAATTGTGCTGCTGCTGATGGCCTATAAAGCCTCATGGATGCCCAATTTTGAGTTGCCCGATCTATTTGAAGTCTATCCCATTTAGTGTAGGCCACACAATGCATTTTGTTACAACAAACAAGGGTAGAACTTATACAATTAATGGTAGGGCCTGGGGTACTGTTGTAGAACAGAGGGACGTAGGGGTGCAGGTACATAATTCTTTGAAGTTTGCATCACATATAGACGGGGTGGTTAAAAAGGCATTTGGCACGCTTGCCTTTATTGCTCAATCCTTTGAGTATCGGAGTTGGGAAGTCATGTTGAGGCTGTACAGGACATTGGTGAGGCCTCTTCTGGAATACTGTGTCCAGTTCTGGTCTCCCAGTTATAGGAAGGATATTATTAAGCAGGAGAGGATTCAGAAGAGATTTACAAGGATGTTGCCAGGTATGGAAGGTTTGAGTTATAAAGAAAGGCTGGTTAGGCTGGGACATTTTTCACTGAAGCATAGGAGGTTGAGAAGTGACCAGACAGTAGTTTATAAAATAATGACAGGTACAGATAGAGTTGGTGGTAGATGTCTTTTCCCTAGGTTAGGGGATTTCAAGACCAGCAGGCATATTTTTAAGGTGAGAGGAGAGATTTAAAAAACATGAAGGGCAAATTTTTATACAGAGGGTGGTTCGCATATGGCATGAACTTCTTGAGGAATTGTTGGATGTGGGTACAATTATGGTTAGAAGACATTTGGATAGGTACATGAATAGTAAAGGTTTGGAGGGATATGGGCCCGGAACAGGCAGGACTAGTTTACTTTGGGATTATGTTCAGCATGGACTGGTTGGGCCGAAGGGTCTGTTTCCATGCTGTATGACTCCATGACTCTATAAGTACAACTTCTGCATCAACCACTTGATATCACAGAAAATAATTAAGAACCATACCTTAATGGGTACAATGAGCAATGAAAATGAAGCAACTCTGGATAGTTCAGAAGTCAACACTGATATTGTTGCAAAAGACAAGCTGCACTTTCAAGCACAAAACTATGAATGGTCATAAAGATCTAACCTAAAAGAGCACAGATGGCATAACTGCAGAAGAGTGAACCATAAGCAGCTTCTTCAGTGATTTGAAAACCAAGAAAATAACATACTGCAATCACTCCATGTTCATTTTATTGTAATTCATTCATAATCTGGACGACATAGGAATTTTCTATTTTTTTCCAATCAACCTGTTCAGGGATGTTATTACACACCTCTGGAGAGATGGGATTTGAACCTGGGTGACTGGACCTTCCAGTACGGCAATAGGAATACTACTACTTTGCCACAAGAGGAGGTTGTTAGTGGGCTCAATATGGACATCACCACCAGCACAGCACCTATCCCCACTATTGGATTTGCAGGATTTTGCTGAAGCTTGCTGTGATATTTCTCAAGGGGACTGAGGTGTCTGCTTTAAGGTATCTATGTCTCCGATGCATACAGGAGGGGCTGGTAACACTGGTGCCCTGTATACCATGAACTTGGTGTTAGGTTTAAAGTTTTTGTCATCAAACACTTTGTTCCTCAGATGGCCGAAGGCTCTGCTGGCATACTGAAAGCCATACTGAACTTCAACTTCCATGTTTGCACTTGTTGAGAGGAAGTTTCCAGGACATGGAATTTGATCCACATTGTTCTCAGTAGTTCACTGTGGATCTTGATAGTCAGGGACAGTGTTGTGCAGTGGGAACAGGATGGTAGAGGACCTTTGCCATCTGAATGTTAAGCCTAAGATCGGTCTCTCATATGCCTCTGTGAATAGATCAATGATAATTTAGAACTTGGCATCTGAATGTGTGCACACACAAGCATCATCTTCATACTGCAGCTTGAAGACAAAACCTCTGTGGTCCTGGTTGTGAATGGGAAGTGACAAGGGTTGAATAGTTTCCCACTTGTCCTATAGAGAAGCTGCACTACAGTGGGAAGCTTCTTAGATAATGGGACAGAGTGTTTCAACAAGGAAGCTGAAGAACAGCATTGATGCGATAATGTAGACAACAACCCTCCTCCCACATCCATTATTGTATTATAGCAAAATAAAGCAACTAACTTACAATTAGCAAGGTCCCACAAACATTTACTAATCACCAGATTTTGTACTCTGTTTAAGGGATAGACATGGGCCAGGCAACACTGGGGAACTCCGCTGCTCCTTTTCAAACAATGGAATGGGATCTTTGACATCACACTGGGAGGACAGATGCACCTTGGTTTAACGCCACATCCACAAATTGCACTTCTGGCAGCTCAGCAAGCCATTGCTATCAGAGTGAATTGTCTGTCTAGATTTAATGCATTTTAAGCAATCATACTAAACCATAATGGATTCTGTCGCAGCAAAGAATTCATTTCTGCAGTTATTGATATCCCATGAAGAGTTCTATCATGAATCAGTTTCTTGCTTTGAAAATTGTTTCAAACATTACTCCATATAGTGCTTGTATACAACAGCTGAATATTTAAAAATAGTTTATTTTGATTTTGTTCAAACCTACAATAGTCTTTTGTGTCAGTTACTATTTAGTTTTTCCAACAGATAGCATTACATATGGTGATAACTATCGTTATTTGCACTCATCCTCCCTTCAATAAACCACTTCATCCTGGGTCTGTGCACAACAGCTAACAGAAACGCATTCATTCTTTGAGATCATTTTCTTGAAATAGAAAACTACATATGCCTCTCATATTTCACATTAAACCACTATTTTACTTACAGTGTAGACGCACTGAGTCATACCAAGCAGTGGAAAGGGGGAGTGAACAAATGTCAGCCAAGAAAACAGCAACTCTCTTTAATATTATTTGTTCAAGCCACAATATCACCTGCAATCCCCACCACCACCCGTCACACCATGAGAAAATTTATGAAGACTGTCTCATCAAACAAGTTTTTACTTTGTAAAATTAAGGCATATTGTCCAGGATAGTTTGTCCTCTTAAGCTCCAAGATGATATCATCTTCTGGCTAAATTTCAGAAGCTCTGAATGGAAGTTTGCCAAAACTGCATCTGCAACATCATTTTGCCCCACCACCTCATCCACACCCACCCACCCCCATCCCAACCATTTTGGCATAGTTTGCTTCTCCCAGAGGTCTCCGAGTGCAGCAATGAATAGTCGTTATTGCAGCAATACCAGACTTTATGTAAATAAATACCTTGTAGTTGCACCTGTGGCTTTCCAAGATAGAAAATCAGGGAGATCAAAGAAATGATGAGCTTTATCCCAGCAAGTGGTTGGCAGTTTCTGGCAAATTCAAACAACAAACACAAGTAACTACTCCAAATCAAGCAAATGTCCTTTTCATGTGTGATATATATAAGATATTTTGTTTCTTTGATTTAATTTTAACTGCACAAAACACTAAAAACTGAATATCACAATTCTTTAAAAAAATTAAAGCTGTGGTTATTTGTTCTTACAATAGTTCATAATTAATAATCTAAAATTTAAAACCAATACATCTCAATTTATATCTAAAAAGAGTGCTCAATTTCAAAGAATGTTTTGTAAATAAAAACAGTTAGCTTTGTTATTTTTTCAATATTGTAATCATACTGCAAGCTTCTATACTTTCCCATTATGTTGTTCAAATGTGGAAACAATCTGTGATTTTAAAACATTGTGGGGACTGCAGGATCGTGGGCTACCCTGATCAATCCTAAATCAAACCAACTCCACAGCAGAAGAAATTTCATTTTTCTATTCATTCATGAGAGGTGACTGTCAGCCTCTACTGCTCAACAATTTTCTGGAATGCCTTTGTGCCACACATTTTTCCCAATTTAAACAGCAGATTACAGACATCTCCTCAGTCTCTCTTGTTCCTATCCTAACAGTGGTTGAGACAGCAGAAGAGAAAATTTAATGGTCAGCGCCTATCATGCTTCCATGCCAGCACTTGGGATTGGGATGCTGAGAATGCTGAGTTACACCAGAGTTGAGTATTCAATGACACTTCACTATGCTCCAACAATTGATAATTCAAAACATTGCAACACAACAGAAATGTCTGTGGATCAGAAACTGAAACTGAATCCAAGAAAAAAGAATCATCTCTCAGCTTCCCTTTTTACTGTTTCAATGTCCAGAATTGTAACAATGCAGTTATTGATTTAAAATCTGCCAGTGGGAGCCTTAACATTTTGGCTGTAATGCAGTGCTGATGTCATTGTGTTGAACATCTAATAGGAAAGAATGTGTGAGAAGCAGAAATGTTGTACATATTTTGTTCAGAGGAAGTTTTAAATCAAATTACTTCAAAACAAATGTTATTTTTAATAAATATATTTAAAGAGAAGTGTTATTTAAAGAGATCATCAATTACTTGCAGTTTCGTTTCTGACTGAGTCCTATTAGCTGTTGCAGCGCCATGAAGATGGATCAGAATCTAATGTACTATGGAGATATTTTAACTTCCTAAATTCAAAATCTGTTTTATTTTAAAGAAGTGGATTGCTACAGACAAAAAGAACACGCTATTGTAAATTCTGGGTGTCTAGCAAAGTCCCACCTATGATCCACAAAATATTGAACCCGTAACTTCAAACAGACAGCAAGATGTAACAGAAAGAAGGAAATAAACAAAACAATGAAGGAAAACTGAAATTGCTTGAGAAACTCTGCAGATCTGCCATCATCTATGGACAGAAAGCACAGTTAATGTTTCAGGTCCAGTGATCCTTCTTCAGAATGGGTTGCCTTCAGAACATTGTCAGAGACAGAAGGAGTTAATTACCTTCCCCTTTTCAACAGAAAGCTATGTCTGGCAGACATTTTTGCAATAGCTTGCATCCAGCTTGCCCTATAGCATCATAGGAAGAAATGAGTACAGACAACTCAGAGCAAGAATGATTGCTGGATAAGGACTGAGAAGAAGTAGGCCATACTCACCTGAAGATCTGTGAGAAACAGTGTGTAAGACATCCCCATATCAGCAAGGAGGTCATCACTGAAATCTGCTTCCAACTCCAACCATAACTGCAGCCTCAAAGCAGGACAGCAGTGGTGGTTGTGAAGGCGATCATAGCCACAAACCTTTATAAATCTGGCTCTTTCAAGTCAGGAACACTCAATATTTTCATCATTTTCCAGTTTACTGTTGTATAAGGAAGGGCACTAGGTCTACACTCCAAGAGAGCTGAATACATTTCTTTTTCCAGACAGAAGCAGATGGAGCAAGTAAATAGTTCGAGGAGGACTGCAGATTTCCTCATTGTGCAAAGAGTCACTGACTTCACAAGATATCCTACAACCAAAAGATTTTCTGTGGCGTCAAAATGAAATTATAACATAAGATATTGGAGCAGAATGAGGACATTTGGCCCATTGATTCTGCTCCACCATTCGATCATGACGGATATGTTTCTCAAATCCATTCTCCTGCCTTCGCCCCATAGCCCTTGAAACCCTTACCAATCAAGAATCTATTTCTCTTTTAAATATACTCAATGACTTACCCTCCATAGACCTCGTGACAATGAGTTCCACAGATTAACCACACTGGCTGAGGAAATTTCTCCTCAGCTCAGTTAAAAAGGGTTATCCCTTCACTCTGAGGCTAAGCCCTCAAGTCTTAGTCTCCTCCCACTAGTGAGGACATCTTCTCCATGTCCACACTATCCAGGCTTCTCTTTATTCTGTAAGATTCAAACAGATTCCACCTTCACCCTTTTAAACTCCATCAAGTACAGACCCAGAGTCTTCAACCACTCTTCATATAACAAGCCCTTCATCCCCATGATCATTCTTGTAAGCCTCCTCTGGACCCCCCTCAAAGGCCAGCACATCCTTCCTTAGTATGAGGAAACTGCTCGCAATTTTCCAAATGTAGTCTGACCAGAGCTACATATAGCCTCAGCAGTACATCTGTGGTCTTGTATTCTAACCCTCTTGAAATGAATCTTAACATTGCATTTGCCTTCCTAAGTTCCAATTGAACCTGCATGTTAACCTTAAAGCAATCCTGAACAAGGACTCCCAAGTCCCTTTGTGCTTCAGATTTCCAAAGCCTTTCCCTATTTAGAAATTAGTCCACACCTCTACTCTTCCTACCATAATGCATAATCTCCACACTCCTGCAATGTATTCCATCTACTACTGCTTTGCCCATTCTCCTAGTCTGTCCAAATCCTTCTGCATCCTCCCTGCTTCCACAATTCCACCCGTCCCTCTACCTATCCTTGTGTCACCTACAAATGTAGCAATAAATGCCCTCTGTTCCGTCATCCAGATCGTGGATGTATAACAGAATCGTAGTGGTCCCAACACTGATCCTTACAGAAAACCCACTAGTCACTGGCTGCCATCCTGAAAAGACCCCATTATTCCTACACTCTGCTTTCTGCTGGTCAGCCAATCCTCTATCTATGCCTGTACATTGCCCCAAACACCATGGGCTCTTACACTCACAACAGTTCCGAGGAAGGGTCATCAGAGCTGAAACGTTAACTCTGTTTTTTCCTTTACAGATGCTGACAGACCTGCTGAACTTTTCCAGCAACTTGGTTTTTGTTCCTGATTTACAGCATCTGCAGTTCTTTCCGTTTTTATTTATCGTGGGCTCTTACCTTATTTAGCAACCTGCCATGCGGCACTTTGTCAAAGGCCTTGTAGAAATGCAAATAGATCACACCCATTGGCTCTCCTTTCTGTAACTTGCTTATTACCACCTCAAAGGAATTCTATCAGATTGGTCAGGCATGGCCTCCTCTTGATGAAACCATGCTGACTCAGCCCGATTTTACAAATGATCAAGGTCAGGCTAACTGGTCTACAGTTTCCTTACTCCTGCCTCCCTCTTCTTAAAAAGGGGTGTTACCGTTGTTATTTTTTGGTCCTCTGGCACCCTCCTTGACTCCAGTGATTCCTGAAATATCACCACCAAAGCCTCTACAAGCTCCTCAGCTATCTCCTTCAGAACTCTGAGGGTGGAATCTGTTTGAATCTTACAGAATAAAGAGCAGCCTGGATAGTGTGGAACCATCTTGACCTGGTTATTGATCCACCTTCAGACCTGTCAGCTTCCCCAGCACCTTCACCTTAGTGATGGCCACTACACTCACCTCTAATCTGACTGTCTTGAAGTTCTGGAATGCAGTTGGCACCTTCCACAGTGGAAATTGATGCAAAGTACCTATTCAGTTCTTCTGCCATTTCTTTGTTCTCCTATTACGACTTCTTCAGCTTGAAGAGGCTGAAGAGTGGCCCAGTGTCCACTCTTACGTCTGTCTTACCTTATAGATATTTTTTTAAAAATCCTCTTCCAATCTTTTTTTATATTACTTGTTAGCCGACTCTCATATTTCATCTTCTCCCCCATCCATTCTTGTTTTTTCAGTTATTTTCTGGTTTTTAAAGTCTTCCCTATCCTCTGGCTAGACACTAATCTTGACATCATTGTTTGCTTTTTCTTTTGCTTTTGCTGTCTTTGACTTCCCTTGTCAGCCATGGTTGCCTTATCCTCTCCTTAGGATGTTTCTTCTTCCTTGGAATGAATTTCTGCTATCCCTCTCGAATTATCCCCAGAAACATCTACTTGGATCCCCTTCCAATCAACTCTGGACAGCTCTTCATTCATGTCTTTGTAGTTACCTATACTTAAATGTAAAACAATTACATCTGATTCCAGCTTCTCTCTCTCAAACTGCAGGGTGAATTCTATCATATTATGGTCACTGCCCTCTCGGGGTTTCTTCGCCTTAAGCTCCCTAATCAAGTCTGCCTTACACATCACCAAATCCAGAATTGCCTGTGCCCTTGTGGGTTTTACCACAAGCTGCTCTAAAAAAAATCTTGTAGACATTCCACAAGCTCCTTTTCTTGAAATTCGCTAACAATGTGATTTTCCCAGTCCATGTGCATATTGAAGTCCCCACGATATTGTAATAGTGACTTTCTTACATGTCTTTTCATAAACTGAATTATCCTGTTTCCCGCATCCTGACTACGAAAAGGAGGCCTGCACACAACTCCCATCAGGGTGTTTTTTTCCATTGTGGTTCCTCAAGTCTACCCACACAGATTCTACACTTTCTGACTCTATATCGCTTCTTGCTATCAATTTAGTTTAATTTCTTATGAACTAGGCAACCCCAGCCCCTCTGGTCATCTGTCTGTCCTTTCGACAGTACGTGTATCATTGAATATTTAGTTCCCAGCTCTGGTCCCACTGCAGCCACATCTGTGATACCCACAACATCATACCTGTCAATTTCAATCTGTACTACAAGCTCATTTACTTGTTT